TGCCTGGAGAAAAGATTCCCCGTTGGATTTGAAATTCGAATACAACCATTCGATAGAGAAAATTGTTCTCTATTGATGTACACAAGGCTCAGCTCTTTAGCTTGTGCTGTTCAGGAAATATAGGTAGTTTCCTGAGAGCCCCGATTTCGGCCAGCTGACCTTGAATCACTCCAAAAAACCTCGAAATATAGGTAATCGACCATGCTGAGTCGAGTGGTGATATTTATTTTCAGTTTCAAAGCGACTGAAATCATTAAATTAAATATTTCTGAAATTTTTATATTCGGACGTTATGTCGCGCATCAATAGAGAACAATTTTCTCTATCGAATGGTTGTATTCGAATTTCAAATCCAACGGGGAATCTTTTCTCCAGGCAGTGCCTAATATGTCAAACGGAAACTCACCTGATTGGTTAATTGTTGACCAACCAGCTTTCGATATTTCTTAATAAAGAATATTATTCTCTTCCGAATGTTAACAACCGCAGGTCTGTAGCTGCTTCCTATCCGGAGTTATTCAACTTACAACCGACTCCATTGTTCATTGAAATGGATAGTAGTTGATTCTGAAAAACAATTGAAAAACTGTGTATTCTGTGGAAAATAACGTGAGAAAAAGGAGCACAAAAAAGGCCACATGAACATCAAGGAACAAATATGACTATACTATTAAGTCCATAATTTCCATTTAAGTTGTTGGACAATGAATTTTAGAAAAAGACGAATATTTATCTGATAAGTATCATTTTTTTGCACAAAAATTTCTGATCTCATAACCTAGGAGAATCTATGCAGCTACTCACATCCAAATGGACTTGTACTTTTGAACGTGCATTCTAATGGAAAATTGAATACTATTTTTGGTTGCAAATCAACACCTTTATAAGCAATTTGTGTTGTGCCTTCATCTAAACCCTAGAAACAGAGAAAAACTTAAGTAATACATCAATTAATTTGTTTTGTTTTTAACTTAGTGAACTTACGGCACATATTTCCCAATCTTTTCCCATTACATATGCAAATCTCAAATATAAATCATCAAAATCAGCCAACTAAAATAGAAAAAAGATTCGAAAATTAAAGAGCAAAATATTGTACTTGACTTCGCAATATACCTAAAATATATGGCGAATTTCGAACAGCACAAAGTGCGAGAAGCTTGAACATATACAAGTTTTAGTATGCTAGTACATGGATTTATTTAGCCGTAAACTATACAAGAGGTTCAAATACAGACTCTTAGGTCCTACTGTCTTTTTTTATCCGTCTGTTCTGATCTTTCAAGGTTGTAGAAAATCAGAATATGAATTCTGTTGTAGTGGCTGTTACGCAAAATGAAATTTTTGTAAAAAAAAGATAATTTTACCTCGGCACTCTCAATTGCTCCATTAATGAAAACTAGAAAGTTCGTCGGCTTTGCGTTCATATTTGTTCATCCACATTACGTTTGTTTTATTCTAAACGATCATACATCTCATGTATTGACCATTGTCTGTGTAGGTTGTTGTGGTAGAACCTCTATCTTATTTCATGTAAAATGTGTAGTAATTTGGTCTTATTGAGTGATAGATGGCGCTTCTGGAAGCATGGTATGGAACATATAAATATGGCAACTCTAATACTTTCAATGTGAGATATTTTTCATTAGAATTTGAAAGGCATAGCGAAAAAACTATTTTCCATTATTAGCCGGATGCACTCATAAAAAATTCAAACATATCACTATCTATCTTTTTTAAGCTAAAATTTCCACGACAGACTCTTGTTAGACAAAAAAGTCAGTGCCATATACTGAAGTGTAACACAGCGAACACCATATAATTGTGAAGAAAAAGAAGTGTTAGACGATGAATGATTTTCTTAGCGAAGAATAAGGGATATGCACTAGATATGTCGATTCCTTCTCATTTGTCTTTATTTTCTTCTTCATCAGGGAGAAAACAGACTATCGGACTTCCACTCAATTCTCTAAATTTAGGTTTTGCAGGGTTTCTCCTAACAAGTTTAAGAAACTTTCACTAAAAAATAATGCAATTTATATGAAAATTCTACAGACATACGCTGCACAACAAAATATATAGTACAAAACAGAAAAGTGTTTTTGAGATGCAAAAAGAATCTTTGTGAGCCTTATTGTTTTGTTCTTCGTGGTTATTCCATGATATTTTGACTAAGGTTTATTATTATTCGTTTACTGTACTTTTTATCTCTCGTGATTATCGAATAATTGGTGATAGACGAGACGATGTTCCCAGGGTGCAATTGATGCTCTAGTATGGAGTCTCTCATTTTCCGCGTTCTATGCATGTCTGGTTCTTTTATGCAGAAAATACGAAACGATAGCTTAGTAAACTTTTGAGGATCAGTCGATAGTAGAATTTTTAAACATTGTTATCATGAACGTATTACATGAACTGTCAAAGAAAATCTCATGTTCGATAAGCGAGATAGTAAACATCAGTGAATGTTTCTGATGTTTTTCTGATGGTTTGAAAAACGAAAACACAGAGTTTTCGTTACAAACTAATCGATGATTCTGACCATTAAGCTTGTCCAGCACCGTTTTATAAAAACTGAGTCTTCACAGACCTAGACCAAATTCTCGAGTGTACGCTTCACGATCTGGATAATACTTACAAGTGTACTATTCCTTACGGTGTAAATCTTCTGATAAAGAAGAACTAACGTTTTCGATTTCTTATGTATTGATGAACTATTCGCATTGTTCACGCCAGCACACTTGAAATTCTACAGACAGAGGATCCTACAGGATTTTAGTAGAATTCCTGTTTTGTCCTAGGATTTTTTGACCTAGAACTAGTTTTCGATTCCTCATTCAGAAAAGTTGTGCAGTTAAAAAGATAGGCAAGAGCAGCTCGTTATATCTGTTTAACAAAATCATATAACGATCAGTCTTACAGTTTTCTTTAATTGAACAAACTGAAATCATAGCTCAATAACGTGTACTACTTTGTGGAAAGGCTTAGACAGGTCGAAACTCATTGTAAGCGGTGTTCTGATCTGTTTATAGTATTGTAGAAACCGTGAGCTAGTAAAACATTAGTAATCAAAATCAATAGGTTAATAGTTGCTAAAGAGAAACGCGGCACGTTTTTATGAGCTGTTGTAATGATGTCAATCTTCCACTGATCAGAAAACGCATTTACGTTCAAAGAAAAGTAAAACATGTTAACAGCTGCTTCCTTATGACAAAATTCTTTATAATAATTTTTAATAAAAAATCGTCGGTATGTCTCACTGCCTAACATAGGATAATTGTTCCATGAATGTGTTCAATCGAAATGTTGATGTTACATAAAATGTTTTGAAGTGCACTGGAAGAAGGAGCAGAAGAATAGGAAAAATTGAAATACTAGTTGAACAATGCACAAGACTCTCTATCATTTGAAACAGTGTGATTTGAGTTATCGATTAGAAACTTGGGTATAATAATTATGAATATATTTTTTACAGTTTAAAATATAATATAACATTTTTTGACAAATTCACTAATGCTTAGGAAAATAAATCTCAAATATGTTCAATATACTCTGAAAAAAATATCTTTATACGCTCTTCTTCGCTATTGTATCAATTTTTGTTTTGTTTTGTACTGATGTTTATTTTCTTATTCTATCGTTCTTATATTACAAATTTTTCAATTGTAAAATAGCAAGAAAATAAATTTTTTTTGCAAAGCGAAAAGAAAAAAAGAAAATAATGCGAATGTGTTTCGTTTTGTACTGTTGTTGTCTGTTTCACTGCTTATTGTACAGTAATAAATCGAACATAGGGTTGAAAAGAGAAGTGAGTGGAGAGTATGAACACACTCAAAATATGTAACAATATTTAAGTTTTTTCTATTCTGCTGTATGAATGAAATAGAAGAATGAAGAAACAAAATACTTAAAAGAAACCATGTAATGAAGCACTTTCGTTTTTTTTTTCAGATTTGAGAGTTATTTCTTTCTTTTTTATTTTATTTTATTTTATTCTTCTTCTCTACCATATTTCGATCATCACTCAACACTTCTTTTTCTCCCAAATGTGGAATATTAACAAATTTTCTTATCCATCTTTCATTCTTTTCTTCTCTCCTTCAAAAAATTATCTGTACTTGAATTTCATATTTAAAAGTTTGTTATTTGTAAGCTATCCTAATACTAATTCCATTAATTAGCTACACTATTAAGTTGATGTTTCATCTTCAAATGTTTTGTTAAGAGGGATAAAAATGAAGTAACAAAATTGATTTATTGATCAAAAATTCATTTATTTCGTGCAATAACACAGAAAAAAAATAAACAATGACAGAAAATCCATTAACATTGACCGACTTATTTCATAAATTTATTCGTATGACAGTTAAAACAACTGTCACAGAACATGAACCAAATATTAAACAACATCGACATTATCATCATCATCATCGAGACAAAATTCCTCATAATCACCATCGAGATAAACAAAATCAACCTCCACCTGGTCCCTCTACACATACATATGCTAAAAATCAACAATTAAATAATTCGATTAATAATTCGAGACGACGATTAATACCGTCAAGATATCGAAGACGACTTTCTAGTGTAGGCTATTGTTCCGTATCACCATTACAAAAAAGTGATAGTAAAGATGATAATGGACTTCAAGATACACAAGAATCCACTACAAATACAGCAGATATCAGTATGGAAAATGTAAGTAAAAGTTTGAAAAACAGAAAACATTAATCACTAATAATTTTTCTTTGAGAAAATGTCTAAAATAAATATTTATATTTATTAATTGTGATAATTATGTACTTATACATAGATAATTTTAGAAAAAAACTAAAATTAAAATTTATTTCGAAACGTAAAATGTCCCACTCTATAGGTTTATTCGTTGACACTGAAACTTAATTCTGACTTTTCGATTTTTCTTCCTAAAAGCATTAACCCAAAAGAGACAAATAAATTTAAAGTAATTTAGGCTTATTTTTTATATTGACATCGGCAGGATTGTCATCTTTTCTATGTTTGTTCGCACTTTCCGCTTTTCCCGTTTTTATGGAATCAGACACCACAACTCAATTAAAAAGCAACTGCTTCGTGTTTATTTTTCGTTTCTTTTTTTTTCAATTGTTTTATCACAATATGAACTAAATCGCTGTAATAAGTCTTCAATTTATTGAAAAAATCTTCAAAAACACGTCTGGAACGGAAAAACGTTTTCCAGTTATTTTTGTTGCGCTTTTCAAATACTCAGAAGGTGAGATCTTTGTTCGAACCCGAGATTTGTTGAAATAATTGATATATTTTATATCTTTTACTTTGTCGTATACAAACTTTCTTTGCAGTTTCTAAGCCAGGTGAAAGAAATATAATAACTTGTCTCCGCAACTAAATCGTTTATTTATTCTATGAGATCGTTTTCGATAAATACATCTGTACACCAAGAAAATGAGTTCATATTCGAGTTACTGGCCGGGTTTGAGCAGATGTATTTTAAACTAGTAATTTGCTTGTGAATATTTTCAAAGAAAAATTTCATCAAATTCGCTCATATACAAAAAATTCTCGTACAATTCTGATTCGACTTCATAGGTTTTTACTGTTATCTCAGTTTTTTTCAAAATATCTGTAAGCTGCTAATCTTGAGGATTGCAAATATCATACTGAGAGATAAAAATGATCTAACTTTAACTCAGCCTACAAAAATCTTCATCTTTTATATGAATTTTATATACTAAGAAAAAATCTCTATTGTTATGATATTACAGCAAGTTCTCATCGAATTTAATTTTCAACGTACAAATAGTGTTTTATTTGTTTGCTATTTCAATTATCCTTTTCTACAAAAATATCATTTAATCAAAATAAGATCTTTTTCTTCTTTCATACTTAAGTTTTATTTTTTACCAATTGGACAGTAATTCCTTATAAAAATTTTAAAATTGGTGGTATGATACATATATTTAATGAAAATATGTTGAACGATAAGCCTGAAGTGTATTTTTCTAAAAACGTTCTTTTGCCCGCAGACTTCTCATTATAAATTCTAATAAAAAAATAATGTTATTCTTTAGTAAGATTTTAGATGCCCATTTTGTTTTTAGAAAGAAAACGTGAAAAAAACAAAAAATAATTTTTTTTGCAGAAATATTAATACAAATTTATTCATTTCAATTGATTCTCGAAGAACAGCAGTGCATCCTAGTACAATCGTCTATATTTTCAATGTTCACCAACATTTAAAGTGATTTTAGTATGATTAATTTGAAGATTATTCTAAATACGTTAGAGAAACCATTTAACTATTCATTGCTAGCAGTATAAAATGCAAAGAAAAGTATTAATTGGTCAATAAAAGTGTTTGTTCTCATTTAATATTCTTATTTTTTAGTGATTTTTCTAATACTTGGTAATGAATAAACAAACAGAAGTCTAATACATTTGTTCATCATGTACAACAGAGGTGAATGGGACGCTGGTATTCGTCCTTCTCTCTTACGAAACGATCCCGTTCACCTCTAATATGAAATATGAAAATATTTTGTAATCGTACACGCTTCGAAAGACGACCATTATTAGTATATAATTATCATTACGTGCAAATCCTAAACCTATTTTGAAAAGAATAAGAATAATTTCGATTAATTTGCGAAAAGTTCTAAATGTTAGTACAATAAATTATCATTTTATCACTATCAGATTGATTTCGAGGTTTTACTTTAATCAACGTCAACTTCTTTTTAAATAAAGACGTGTTTATGTGACTTTAAAAATATGATTGTTGACTATTTTATATTTTTCTCTTAGATTTTCAACGAAATCTTTCAATAACTAACTGTCCATCAAAGTTTTACATTCTTCTTTTTTCTTCTTCTTGATACAGTAATAACTCATTCATATTCTTCTTTATTTCTTATTTTCTCTTCGTTATCAGTAGCAGCTTTCTATATGACTTATGTTTTATTAATTTCTGATTTAAAAGAAAAATTGAATAAAAATAGTAAAAATCCTTACAAACTCTCTGTTCCTCGCATCTAAATAACATATTTTTCTTACTTCTCTATAATTTTGATATCAACTTTATTTACAGGTGTTCTTCATATGATTAATTTTATAAGATAAAAACATTTTAAAAATATATTTATATTTACTTGAGTAAAATAATAAAAAAAAAAAATAAGATAGACAAAAAACATTTTCTCTTCTTCAAAAATAGAAACAAAATGTATGTCTACTACTTTTCAGGAAGTAAAACTTCATTGTGGTTTTTTTCAAGGAAAAATATAGCATGCAACGCTATTTTGAACGAATATAATATTTTTTGATATTTTTTAAACTGGTTTTTGATATAATAAAAAGACAAAATAGTTGTTTTCATATAAAAGACAACAGAAAATTTTTAGACGTGAAGAATGAATTCGACACTACAGACTTCTATATTCAGACGATATTATAGGGTAAGTTAGGTACTAATTGCAAACAAAGAAATTGTTATTCTGAATAGAAAACTAGAGAATATATTAGCAGTCTTCTTTGCTATTGTTAATTAGCGATGGATAGGATTTCAGAGTTACTTGAGATCGAGATGAATTCATTCGCTTGACAACATTTTAACAGATCAGTCAAGACACTGAAGTTATTATCCAAATAGATAAGTTTACTTAGATCTAGAAATCCTAGCAGAAATCACATACTATCCTATGCCTGTAGAAAAACGTAGGAATCATTATGTAGGATAATATAGATACCTGTCACAGGCGATCCTGTTTTCTTGGCATTCGCGATAGCTGTGTCAGAGAATAAATTTCAGCTACTCTTACAGAAATATCTGTCAGACTAGCTAGACAGCCACGACTGGTCTAATGGGACACAGTAATTAACATTCATTTAATTAAATGAATGTTATTATATGAAATGAAGAACAAGACTGACTAGTCGAAGAATCTTTTGATATGACTCTATAGGATTTCAGTGAATTCCTACCATTTCCCATGTTCAGATCTAATATAATTCTGGCCCCGATCTGATAGAATCCTGTGAAACTCCCAGAGGCTTCCTACCATAGAATTGGCAGGTGTTTTTCGATGAACCGAACACCTATCACTTTCCTACAGGAATTTTACAAGGAGTCTTCGAATCCGTCGGGATTATATAAGATTTCTAAAGGATTATCCGGCATTGGATAAGTTCAAATGTCTGTCTGTTCTTTAATAATGGATGACTCAATTCATATTCTGAATGTGGTGTTCGAATCTTGGCACCGTCGAGTCGTGTAGTAATTTTGGGCAAGTTAATATTGTCTACTTGCTTCGGATTACTCGTTTGCTACGTTATGATGTACAATACAGTTTCTCTGAACAGCCATTATGGCTTTTCGAAAACTAATGGTGAATGTGTGACAAAACGTAAACAGTTGCATGAAAAAAACTGTATACTTGACTGGCCTTCTGGCGAGAATTATAATTGATGACCAATCGTTAGATGGGTGACTATATCAGAAGCCTGTTTGAAGTAGCTTCGTCATAGCAAGCATATAGAAGAAAACATTAATGAGTTTAAACTTGAAATTTGATATTCTGTCACTGATAGAAGCGAATGTGTGTGTTTGATGTAGTGATGCATGTATGCTTAGATGTTGCTTGCATTGCTAAAAAATGACTTCACACTTAAAATGAAAATATAAACATATAGATGAAAATATTATTAAAAAGAAATTAGAGAGGAAAAAAAATATTTATAAATGCTGTTATATGCTAAGCGAAAATCGTTTGTGCAAGTGTTTACATTAGAGAGAGAGAGAGAGAGAGAGAGAGAGAGAGAGAGAGAGAGACACATATAGTAAACAAGTATATGAGTATCGAAGAAACATAGAAAAACAAGAAATTGTACTTTCAAAAACAGAAATGGCACTGAAAATTTACTAAACAAGTGCATATTGATACGTCTGTAACGACAAATAATTTCGTTGTAGTGTTGAATTATATCAAAAATGATGGTTTTCTAGGCTTGTTTCTAAGAAGATAAAAAATAGAAAATAAATATTTCCAATTGTCTATTAGATTTCATCAGTCTGATGTATCGACGTCTAACATTTCTCACCGTGTGTGTTCCCTTCTACGATTTATTGTAAAATCTAATATGTGTGTATCAACGAGTGTTTCTATCATAATTCCTACCATAAAAACAAGAAGAGGAGAAACTAACTCATTTCAAAAAGGCGTTCATCTTTCCAATACTTGATTTTTGTTATAAGATAAAATTAATTAAATTATAAAATTCACCATGTATTCAAGTTCTAACTAAAAGTGTTTGTATGATTCAATTAATAACTATTAACTGTTTACTTTAACTCTATTTTTTCTGTTATCAATAAGAAAACTTTATCTTTATTGATATTATATCATTTGAAAATTCCTCTCTTATTATCATGTCTATTGTTACGTATACAAAATTAGCTAAACAAAATGTTTATGGCAACATATACCTCGAAAAGATTTTCAGAAGATGAGATTAAATATCACTCATTATGAAATTTACGATAAGATATTTCGTGCAGAGTATAATAAAATAGTAATAAACAATACACATACCGGTCTAGACGTTCAATGAAATATATAAATAAACTTTTTTTCTCATCCTAGTTGATTTAAATAGAATGGACAAGAGCTAGAAAATAGGGAATATTGATAAAAAAAAAAAAATGATTCTTCGTCATCGAGATACATGGCCAATAATAATACTAAAACAAAAAACAAAAAAAAACCAACATAATTTTTCAACATAGGTAATTTAGCATATTGATTGTTTAAAATTTTCTTCTAATCCCATATTCGAATATTTTACTTCGACCTTGTTTATTAAAATATAGAGAAAAAAAGTAATTGATGAAAAAAAAGGACAAATATATTCGTTTTGAATTTTTTATTGTTACAAGAAATGTGACTTTTCTTTTGCTTAACTATCGGTTGTCTATATCAACTAAACTAGTCGTTCATTAACATTTAAATCTGAGTAATTTTATTTATTGAATTAATGTATCAAACGAGAAGATAAATTATATTCCCATTTTGACTTGTATGGATGGATTATAAAATAGCAATGTTAAAAATGCGTGATACGACTAAAATCCCTTCATCATCTAAGGTAACAATAAATATTTCTAATTTTATTGTTCTATATATAAAAAAAAAGTGATATTTAAATATAAAATTTTATTAAATTAATTCTTATTATATGTCTAGTCTATTCTATTTATTTTTAGACGAGTGGAACACATGTTCATGTATCAAATTATAATAATGTTACCGATAGTAATATGGATACATCATTTGGAGGTATTGGGCTTAGCATTACATCCAAACCTTTAGCCAAAGTACAGGTATAAAAAGTTTTTATTTATACAAAACTAACTAAAAATAAAATAAAAATATCTACTCAAATTGTATGACAATTAAAAGAATTGTATTTTTTTTTTTTTGTTTTAGAAAATTGCTGTTCAAAATGTGTTGAACGGTTCATTTCCACGTGTTGATAAACAACGTGTATCCTATGGTCAAGCAACAACGGTTTCTCACGCGCATACCCATAATTCACAATCGAAAAGCAGCGGTCATCATAGTTATCACGTTTTTAATAATAGTGCCAATATTGATTCATCATTACCATTTTTAAATGATAGTACTAATTCACCAGTAAATTCTGCACGACATCCTCGAATAAGACGAGAGAAAACACGTGAAGGTAGTCTTCGTTCAAAAGATACTGAAAATACTCATCATACTTATCATACAACTACAACATCAACTCATCATTCATCATCACATCATGGTACTCATATAAATGGACGAACAGATAATAATTTATCTGCCAATCAATTTACACGATCAAAAAGTTTTTTTGCAGAATCAAAACCACCAATGTTTCCAACTAAACCCAGTGGTAAATATTAAATATAAATATACAAAAATTATTTATATAAATAGAGAAAAATACTTTCTTTTTTTCTTTTTTTTTTTGTTATTTTAGAAGCTCTTGCTTATTATGGTGAAAAATTAACCGATTATGAGAAAACAGAAATATTTGAATTTTCAGAAATCTATTTTCTTGGATTAGAAGCAGAAAAAATATCAGCAGCAACATTAAAAGATTATGATGATGAAAATGGATCATATCTTAAAGTATTTTATTTCATATTCAAATATCATTTTTCTCTCTCTATATATATATATGTATTTGTTTTCTTTTCTAGGCTACAAAAGATCATATATGTTATCGATTTGAAGTATTAGAAACGCTTGGCAAAGGTAGTTTTGGTCTTGTTTTAAGATGTTATGATCATAAAAATAAAGAAGCAGTTGCCTTGAAAATTATTCGAAATAAAAAACGGTATGTTTTTTATTTTCTTTTTTTTCTTTTTATTTAATTTTTATTCTTTGTAATTAAAATCTTTTTTTCTAATTTTTCTAGATTTCAACAGCAAGGTTTAGTTGAAGTAAATATTTTACAACATTTACGAAATTTAGATGTTGATAATTCATTGAATACAGTACATATGAAAGAACATTTTTATTTTCGAAATCATTTATGTATTACATTTGAATTATTAGGGTTAGTTAATTAAATAATTCATTATTTTCTAAACTATATATATATATATTTATGATAATAATATTTAGAATTAATTTGTATGAATTAATAAAGAAAAATAATTATCAAGGTTTTAGTGTTCATCTAGTCAGACGTTTTGCCAATTCAATGTTACAATGTTTAAGAGTAATGTTTAGAGAAAAAATTATACATTGTGATCTTAAACCAGTATGTTTATTTATTATACATAAAAAATAAATTTCTATTTTTCGAATAATAAAAATAGAATATGTTTAATTTTTTTTTCTAGGAAAATATTCTTCTTCGTCAAAAAGGTAGTAGTGCCATAAAGGTAATCGATTTTGGTTCCGGATGTTTTGAAACACAAAGAAGTAGGCTTTAAAAATAATATATATATGAAAAATACATATAGAGATAGTTTTATTTTTTAAAAAATTTTTAGTTTATACATATATTCAAAGTCGTTTTTATCGTGCTCCTGAAATTATACTCGGTGTACCATATACTCCAGCAATTGATATGTGGAGTTTTGGATGTATTCTTGTCGAATTATTTACAGGTAATTTGCTTAAATATGATTTTGTTTCTTATAATAATGATATACATAATGTAGATTAATTCAATACTCATTATTCTCTAGGCTATCCAATTTTTCCCGGTGAAAATGAACAAGAACAGTTAGCAATGATTATGGAAGTCATCGATTTGCCTCCACAACATGTTTTAGAACAAGGATCACGAAGAAAATTATTTTTTGGTATGTTTTTTCAATTTGTTCAAAATCTAATTGTTTTATAAAATTCAATGTCTGTCTATAGAGTAATAAAAAGAAGAAGAAAAAAAAAAATCAATAAAAATTTTTATGTTTTAATTTTTAATTTAGATTCTAAAGGTGTTCCTCGAAGTGTGACAATAAAAAATTTAAAAAAACGTCGTCCAGCTAGTCGACCATTAGGCCAAATATTACGAACAACTGACAATAACTTTATTGATTTTATTAGACGATGTTTTGAGTATGTCAATTTTTTTCTCGAACTTATTTTAATCTATAACAATCTTTTAATATTCTATTTTTAAGATGGGATCCATTAGAACGTTTAACACCTGAAGAAGGATTACGTCATCCATGGATAATTGAAGCAAAATTAAAACGAACATCAAGAGAATCTCGTACAAGATATCGACCAAAAAAAGATGAAAATACAACAGCAAATGGAGATTCATGTAAGTTTTAACAACAAAATCTAATACTAAAATTGACTATTAAATGTGTTGTATTATTTATTCAGTTTGTTCATTAGTAATTTAATTAATTTTTAATCTATTTTTTTTTATGTTCTTCTATTTAGATTTTAGTTTCAATGAGACAACGGGTAATGAAGATACTCTACTGATCGATGAAGAAAAGACGAATAATACAAGTAATAATAATAATAATCATAATAATAGTTTGAATAATATACAACATACAAACAATTCATTTTTACCAAGAATTATGAACCAGTAATGTTTAGCTAAATAAGTTAAAATATGAAAATAATGTACAATTATTAAATTTCTCTGTTTCTATCCAATACTATTATTCTTTAACAAGATCTCATCCATGGTGAAGACGACTACCAGTGACATAAGGGCTTTCACTCTTCTTTATAAATATATATATATATATATACCTTCAGATGTTGGCTAGTATTAGATATGTACTGATATATTGAAATGTTCGTGTACAGTGCCTGAGAGCATAGCTCAGCTCAATTATATCTCTCTTTCAACTTAATAGATAAATTTTCATACTTGTGCATGTGTCTATCTTATTTTTGTACAGAGCCAAAAACCATTGTCGTCTTTTTTCAAAGTTCCTGCCATTAATACGCGAAAAAAGAAAAAGAAAGGCGCCGTTTTTCTTTCAGATTCCATTTAAATGTGTATATGTATATATATATACAGATATATATATATATATTTCTACGTGATGAAAAAATCTCATGTGCCTGCTTCCTCTCGTTTTGTTTTATCGTTCTTTGTAGTTTTTCATTATTTTGTTTTTCAATTCGATTTTCCTTTCTTTTTTTTTTTAATGTGCAAAGTTTGTTAAGAAGATTTTTTCTCAATTTAAACGTATACGAATATCTTCTCTCATTCATGGAGAAGCAAACACAATCAGATTGCTACTAATATATCTCATTCATTGCTCAGATTGTGATATAAATAATGTTCAGTTAGATCTAATTGATAGTTTAGTTTATATATCGAAAAAAGATTTCTATCACTTGTTTTTAGTCTATATTTTATTACAAAATTGTTCTAAAAAAAAAAGAAAAAAACAAAGAAGAAAACGATTCATGTTATTAGTGCATGACAAGTAATGTATCGGTGGTTACACCTGCTTTTATTCTTTGATAATTTGGATGTATTAATGGTCGATCATGATCATGGTGATGATGATGATGATGATGATGTATAACTTGATGTTGTTGAGATAATGTCGATGATGAATGATTTCCTGAATCAATATCATCAACACTTGTTGATACATGTTCGTGAACATTTATTAGTTGTTTAGAGTGTTCTGATGTTTGTTCGTTATTCTCATCTTTATTTAAACATACAAATGAGTATGTAGATGAGGCATGATGAGTTTTATCAATATTTGATGTTAATGTACGATTATCATATGGATTAATCAATGTTCTACTATGAGAGTGAGAATAATTGTTACTATTCATAGATGATGTAAGATGTATTCCATCTTCATCTAGTACAGTTAAACCCCGACTACTCACTGTTGGTATATTAACTGTACGTTGTGCACAACTATATTCATGTTGAGAAGTATCGATTGTAAATAATTTATCTTCAACATTTGTTGAATGAGTAATTGGTCGACGATTATACACAATTTGATCAATAATATTATTTCTATAATGATAAAAATCAATTTAGAATATGAATTAAAAATGTATCATCACAATTTTACCTACTACTATTTGAACTTTCTTCTGATGTTGATGTAATACTTTGGGATGTTTGTGGTTGTTGTTCAACAGCACTATGATGAGAATTTAAATGATTCCAACATTGATATTTGGATGAGGGTGAAAATTGAAAATGCCAAACACGTGTACATGTTAAAAAGACAAATAAACTCAATGAGAATAGAAGATAAAATACAAATAGTCCTAATTGAATAATTAATAATAAATCATAAATTCCTTGTTGAAACATTTTAATGATGTGATAAATGTACAATACAAAACAGAGTAAACTAAGAAAGACAAATAATAGATAAAATAATAGGGCACGACGTAATGGACGATCTTTATTAGTAAAATATTTATCATCTAAATTTGATAATCGAATTAATTGATTTTTTAGTCTAAGCAATGATTGTTCATAAAGAATATAACCAAAATAATAAAGACAATGATTTGTCAATAATATTAATAGTAGTCCCAAAAACAAAAAAATTAATAATATCAGAGGTGTCTGTATAAAATTCGATATTTGTAATACGGTTACGGATGAAAATAAGAGTGTCATATTTTTATATAAAACTTCGAATGTTGCTACAGTAAATATGCACAATGTTAATACGAGAATTGAATGAAGATTGCATAATATACAATAACATATATTTGAATGCCAAAAGGCTGATGCATATAAATATGATAAACGACATAATACGAGAAAATAATACAAAAGTTCACATGAAACAACAGGTTTATAATAGGAAAATGTTAATGAACGATAAAATGTGATCGTAGATTGATTGTACAAATTAATACGTTGATCAGCCGTACCTAATAGAAAATCTAAATCAGATTCGAATACAAAACCTAGAAAAAAAAGAAAAAAATGAAATAGTATTGTTAATAATTCTGAAAATAGAGTGTTAAGTCTGTGTTTCATGCATTATTTCAAAGAAAATACTTATTATATGCCATTTATGGTAACCTTCAACTTATATATATACCAGTATATCAATACTGGACCGGTTTTACTGGGTACCCAAATAGTTTGGTGACCAATAGGTTTGTCATACATACAGTTTATAACATAAATGACTTGGAAGTCTGACATATTCAAGTAGTTTAACAAGAGTTTTGTAGAGCGACGTGTTTTTATGGCTTTACATGCGCTATTACACTGAACGCAAGGAAGGTTATCGAATATAGAACCGTTTTACGAAAGGCAGACCTTCTTTAAAACGGCGTCATTGTCATTGGGATATCTCGGACGCTCTGAGCTCTCATACCGCTTAGAAAATATTTCTTCAACACAATAAATCTTTATTTTGACATGGTCTAGGCTAATTTTTGAAGGATCTACGCTTCCATCTTACAGGGGCGTAGCGAGGGCTCAAAAGCAGGGAGGGGGGACTTAAAATTTTCCTGTTAAATAAAGTTGGTTTTTTACGAATACATGATCTTTACATCAACAGCTCAACAGTACACATCAACGCAAGAAAAGAAGATTTATCATATTTTGCTGCGGAAAAAGCAAACATTTTCAAAAGCAGAAGGGGGCCACGCCCCCGCGGTCGCTACGCCCCTTCCATCTTATAAAGCAAAAATTTAAAGATAAGAGATACGTTCTTATTATATGGTAAAAACATAGAAAAGAGATTAGCAAACTTCAATAAAAAGAATGTTTTTTCGGCTCCAACAAATCATCTGTAAAACGAAAATGCAATCATTACTAAGCAATACTTTACATAAAACAAGGTAAAATGAGCGAAAATAGTTTGATTAAGTGAAATGAAGAGAAATGTAATTAACACCATGCAAAATCTGAGTTTGAAAAAGGAAAACACGGTGTTTAAGATTTCGTAATGTGTAATAGTGTCAGTAAAGTCATAAAAACATGTCGCTCTACAAAACTCTCGTTAAATATGACAAAATTCTAATGTCATTTATGTTACAAACTTTAAATATGACAAACCCATTGGTCACCAAACTATTAGGACACTCAGGGGCAGATGCATACCTACTTTTACCTGGTTTACTCTCAGTTCGTCCCAAATTGCTCACTCTCACACCTGCTCGCCCCTTTGATGTTGTTTGATCTTACAAAGCCAATTTGGGACGAACTGAGAGGACACCCTTTTACCTAGACCTTATTTGAACAGTGGTAACATTAATAGAGAAAGTTCTCTTTATCAGAATTGTAAACGAATTTTCTAGACTAAATTTGAATATTACAATTAAAATTGTTTTTATCGTCCATTAGAGTGTGTATATCGAAATTGAAGCAGAAGATTAAGTGTATGTTATTAATGAACTCTTCAATGACTATCCTTCTTGAACTTTTTTTTTTTGTTTTTTTTTTATTGATTATACATCATTAACTTGAAAGACAGACTAATCAAAAAGTTAAAAACAATTCTATTAAGCGTAAATAATATGCACACATTACATTCAGGACTCTCTTGACCATCTCATATATATATATGTATATGTAGATATATAAATGCATACGCACATTGCAATAAATATTCTCAGAACCACCCATTATGATAAAAAATAAATGTCGCGCATGCATAAGATATATATAGTATACTATCATTAAACTGTAAAATTTCTAATTGAAAATTTAAATCACTTTTGCTAAAAAATGTTTAAAGAAGTATTAATGACAAGTCTGCAGACACAAGATGTAAAAATCATCGAATTTTTTGTTGTATATAAATTGCTCTACCTCAAACGAAATTGAAAAAGTAGTAAAAATGTTTTCATATCAGAAAAACTTCGACGAATATGTAGATATCGAAATAGTCTGTTCATCTTATCAAACTTAGTTTCTGTTATTAAAAAAGGAAAATAGAAAATAGTCAATGATTGTTGTGACTGTTACCTTCAGATTTTAATTGAGCTTTAATTTCTTCTCCTTCTAATAAAATTTTTGGTAGTAATAGTAACAATGTGATTTGTATTTCTGCCAGAGAGACAAATGGTATTGCTAAACGATTTTGTTTCTGATTTAAATCATATTCTAATCCAAATTGAAAATGATCTTCAACTAAACTTCCTACTTTGATTAAGTTCATAATTGAACATAATGGACCACCAATGAGACTAATAGCCAAACATGTTAATGATATTGTTAAAATATTATACGGTTTTTGTGGCCAAGTAAGAGAATCATAATAACGAATAGTGCGAAAATCGTCAAGAATTGAACATATTTGAAGAATGAAACAGATAAATGTGTACCACATAAAACCAAGAGATTTTAAACGCACTGAAGCCATTAGCAACAACCAAAAAAATAAAGTTGATCTACAGATTACTAAAAAAGAGAAAGATAGATGCCCAAAATACGGACAGTTGACAAAAACCAGAAAAATATCAAGTGACATTTTTTTTCTTCGACTATTCCATCTAATTCACTTCGGTCACATGAAAGATGAGCAGATGAACAATTAACATTGAATGAATCATAGTGTTGAACTTCTACATGCCATTCGACTAAGCGATCTTACTTTGTTATATTAAGTGTATTTCTTTTTATGTTGTCAACCATAATGCGTGACCAATTGTTACTTTCATAATGAGTTTTCTATATGTACAAAAATATTGAACTCATTCCTAGGTCGATCATTTATTCTAACTTACTTTTTTTTTCTACTTTCTTTATTCGCTTGACAATAATTAAATGATAATGAAGTTGATATTATTACATTGTTTCATTTTCATTAAATATATATACATCAGCAGTATGTCCATTCTGTTATTGTTCTAACAAGAAAGTTGATCCTATTGTCTACTTTTTAATGTTAAATGACAAAATATTCTGTTTCAAGAATATAAATTAAGAGAAGAGCGAAATTTCAACGATGTGACTTTATTTTAAAAAAAATAGTTGTCATTAAAAATTAACATAGCCAGATGAAAGATGAGAATAGAACAGGTAACAATTCTCTCTCTCTCTCGTTCTCTCTTTCACTTTTTATATACATTTAAGTATAGAGGAAAGAGAGAGAGAGACTTTGTTCTATTGATTGGATATATTCATCTATAAAATACTTTTTATTCATTGTTCATGTCAAAAAATGATAACAAGATCTATATGCTCTCGCGCTCTCCCTTTACATATCATCGTCTCTTCTTAATCCTTTGATTAAACTTTATACAATTTTTGTTAATGAATTTGCACGCCTTTAAATCACATTCAAATCAGACTCATAATGCGAGAGATATGTGGCTATTTCTCTGATTATCGAAGACATGATAGATCGTCTAAAACAATCAATCTCTAATTTTCTATAAAATCTTTTTGTGAAAAATGTACAAACTAGAAGATTTATATACTCGACCCTCAATTTTAGCTAAAGTTGATGTTTTTAAAAACAGTGGAGACCACGTATGTTATCGAAATTTACATTTAGAATCATACAGATTTCTGGCAAATTAGAAGAAGGACGTAGGCCCCGTATTGGGACTACCTTGCAGTATAGGATGCTGCGGAAGCAGTTTCGATAAGCCCGATATCTTCCCTACAGCTGATGATCTTCAGAGACGGTCACCCGTTCTTCTACTAGTCACCAAGCAAGCTGTGGCTCTGGACAGAAGGCCAGCCTGACACAGAGTTCTTTTCGCCCAATTACTCGAGCTCCTCATACATACTCACTAACCACATACAAGCACCGAAGTACCGATGTGTGTCACAACGTAGTGAACATGCTATCGGACGGGTGATCCGAGACAATTGCCGTTAGTAACTTGTTCAAGGTTATTCTATGAATGGGTGGCGCCGAGGTTCGAACACGGTACCTTTGAGATACGTGTCGAACAACATAACCACTCAGCCATAGCGGCTAAAAGCCTGGCAAATTGACTAGAATGAACAATACATTTTTGCTATCTAGATGATTTAATAAAAAAAATTCTTTTAAAAATATTTTATATGTAAAACGAATTTTTTATCTATCTACGAGAGTGTATATTATGAAGAGAAGAAAGTGGTAAAATGAGTAAAACAATTTGATGTGACAGACAATTATAAGTTTATTTCCTCTTACAAATCAGTTGTAATAACAGATTAGCCGTACAGTAAAAAAATGTCATTGTATGTTGTCATGCGATTTTCTTTTTGGTATTTAACAAACGATTAATAGTGAGACATTTAGCTACCATAGATGCAATTACTTTTAAGTTATAAGAATAAAGTTGTCATCGAATTATGATTGACGCTTTTTTCCGTCTATTCATGGGATCAGTATTTCTTCATCATTCAAAATCTAGGCGGAAAGCACTTAATTCTCATTTTGCATATATGTCGTTCTAAAGTTGGAGCTGACGGTTACAAATGTAATCGAGATTCATCAGCGGCGATGGAATTGATTGACTGTTCAGAATTATTGCTATGAGTAGTCTGATGACATTTTCTTGTATACCGCTGTGCGTAGAAAATGTTTTAAGAAGAAATATTTTTCACTATGATTATTGTGGATGGATAATATCGTATACCAATGATTGAATGACATCTTGTTGAAATACCTAAAGAAATGATAGATATCATTTATTGATCAACCATCTCAGTATAGTCCACCTCAAAAGTGGAAAACGTCATACTACACAATATACCTCGATTTGAAAGCTTTTTAAAATCAATCGGTAATCCCAACATTTTGCTTGAGAACAAAAGAATACCTTTTCCTCACTTGTTGTTGCCAGATCGATAGACTATACTATATTCTGAGATAGTTGATAAAGAATAATATGGCCGATAAAACAAAGACAATATCGTCCACAAAGGAAAAAAGCTGAAAAGATCCCGTAAAAATTGCAGAATGGATCCCGTATACTAAAATTTCGATAAAAATAGTAGAAATGATCCCGGATTTAGAAAAAAAATATTTTCGACAGAATTGATCCCAGAATAAACTAATTTTTATGTTTATTGTGCAGAATTGATCCCAGAAAACATTTTTCTTTCTGCGAACAAGAAAATTGATCCCGGTTGACGTGTGGTGCGAATGTAAAGACGGCAGTTGAGACATAAACAATAGCAATGTGTAGTGGTCACATATTTTTTCATACTTTTTTCACTCACATCACTTTTGACTATTACTATCACTATTAAACAAACTATGGCTCGAAAGACATGGCTATTAGTTTTTACGTGTGTAAACGAAACTGATTTATTAAGTTTTATCAAAACTCAAGGTGTCTGCAAAAATCGAACTGAACAATTCATTGGTGATTTATCAATTACATATAAATGTTCACAGTACTGAAATTATCCGCTATGCGAGTATGAATTGAATATAGTCTATAGAAATCAGCGAAGAGCTTTGGGAAAGAGGATCTTATGTGACCACTACACACGTCAACCGGGATCAATTCTGTCAAAAATATTTTTTTTCTAAATCCGGGATCATTTCAACTATTTTTATCGAAATTTTAGTATACGGGCTATGTTCTGCATGTTTTACGGGATCAGAACAATTACCGTCCGCCCACAAATCTACCGATTCCAAGCATAAAAAATATTAAAATTCAAACCATTCATCGTCAGACTGATTTGAAAGAACATAAAATATCTACCACTGATGACTCGTTGAAAGTATCGATTTATCATAACTGACTCTTATGTCAACGAGATGATCTAATTCAGTATTAATATCATTGATTCGAAAACTGAACAAAATACAAGACCAATAAGATGAACGAGCCATATAGAAAAATGCTCAAGAACTACCGTTAAATTATCAATTCCAGTATTATTATTCAAATCTACAACGTTTATAAATTCAGCATCTAATGCGAATATTCTTCTCCATTATGATTGTCACCTTTTTTGGAAATTAATTCTTGGTATTGATCTCGATGACGTTTTGGAGAGGATTGTTCTTGACCAATTGAAGTTGATTATTGTAGATCTTTTTGTGATGAACACCTGTGATGATGGAGTGAACTAAAAGGGTGAGAATGACTGAAATGTAAATACTATTTTTCTTCAAGATTTTTATGATGCGAATAAGTTTTTTGACAATCTAAAATGCAAGGATCTTTGAGAATGCTGTTTGGATCACTGTTCAATTACCACTCTCGTTTTCAAAATCAAATAAATCATCATTGCTAAAAACTAAATTGTAACATGATCTTCGTCAGATCATAGTACTTGGTATTTATATTTTGGGCACAATCGGTATTTATTATAACTGGTTAAATAAACCTCATTCTCAGCTCCTTTATTTAATAAGTCAGGTCCATTTTTAACCTTTGCTACAGTAGGCGATAGTGATGAGAGATCTTTCTCGCTTTTCTTATTCTCATGTATGATTACATAATAATCTTGATGTTCTATCATAAGAAAAACAGATATATCAAGTCCTCTTCAAACTGATTGTAAACCAAACTCCATACACGTTTAGTAGCAACTAACAATGGTAATATATTCAATAGTTGATGGTATTAACAGAATCTTTGTCAACTGTAAGTTAACATATGCGTGAGAAGTGAGTACATAAGCAACCTCAAGACTGACACATAGAGCGATATATACTGTAGCTTTGAAAGATGAGGTTCCACGATAAAGCTATTGTTTTAAGGTATCCCTATTAAAATCCCTATGAGTTTCCTAACAGGATCCGAGACATATCCTGCCAATATCCTACTAGGATTTCGCTTTAATGTCTTAGGATTCTGACAAAATCCTACCGAAATCAGATATACCCAAAAGTCATAGGATTTTCTAAGATCCTGTTAGGATGCTAAACAAACTTAAGCGAAATCCTAGTAGAATCCAAGCATTTTAGGATCCTGCTAGGAAGTTATTAGGTGAATCCTAAATGTTAAGATCCTGGTAGAAAATAGACAAGAAGTGCGTAGGATTTTGTCCAGGGATGTGCGAGGAGGTGTACACCCTCTCTTTCCCTGCTTATTGAAATTACTTTCTTTTGAAAATTTTCTCCTAAGATTTATTTGAAAAAGTCGGGCAACTACTAAAAATAATTTTGATGAAAATAACTGGGATAAAGAGCATTCTTCGACGCCAGGTGGGAGGAAGAGCATCCAAGCTGAATTCAGAAAGTTATTTTTCTCAATTATTGTTGATAAGTGTTAGGCAATGCGATTGAATGAGACCGGTGATATTCAACGGCTGGCTGTTCATCTATACTTTCCTGTCTGATAGAGTCAAATGACGAAAAAATGGAAAAGGAGTTTCGATGTGTTCTGTTATCCTCAGAGATGTTTCGACCTTTGGGTTTTGGAGTAAGGGTCATCTCCGAACCTCTGCCGGTCAAGATCCATTTATCTTTTATATTATTCACTCATTTTTTCAGATTAATACTGATGTTTTGTATTTTTTTAAGCGTCCGTTTATTGCTAATAAAAATTATTTGAGTTTTCTATCAAAAAAAGTATATTCTACTTTTTCTTCAAACACAGCTCTGCTTGATAAATGAGATCGTTATGTCGCTTCGATCTCTCTCTTTTGTCATTACCAGCAGAGTTATCTATCATTCAGTAGTGATGACTCATTTACTTCGTTACAATATCCCGATTATAGACCGAAAAAGAAAGAGAGGAAAATGGTCAATGATTAGTTTATCAACACATCATGATATAAGTTTTTAGTAATATCTACGCTTTCTCAATTTATAAATATAAATGCACGCTATAGAATAATGTGTGATAACTTTACAAGATATGTAGAATTTATTAAATAAAAATATGTTTTCATCGGACACAATACCCTTCTTAAAAAATTATATTAGTAAAATTATATTAATATTATAAGATTTCATTGACAGTTAACCTGGTAGAGGAGAACTGATGAGCGATTAACATCTTTTTTGCCATTATCAAATCGATCTCTATTTCAGCGCATCTTAAATTCATCATTCCTATAAAATAATTTAGTCAGACAAACTAAAACTGAAATTTATCCTCTTTCTAGCGCAAAGTTTTCCCAAAAGATTGACGGTTAATCACATTGTTTATATTATTCTGTAATCCGAACTCGGTTATCTTATAAAATCTTTATGAAAAAATATAATCAAATCTCTTTTAAAGTAGTGGAAACAAAAAAAAAAATTCCTGAGAGTCAACATAATATAAGAAAAATGTCAAAAATAAAACAAAACAAACAAAACATGCAAAAACAAACAAATTAATTAATGAAATTACTAGCAAAACAGTTTTCATTTTCTTTGTTTAAAACTATATGTACTTTTAAAGTCCGTTCTCGCATAACTCGACCAATACGGACTGACTATATAAAAATACAAATAATGTAATAATTGTTAATGGACGGAAGAGTCCAATCGTTTGATTCGTATAGGATTCACTGTTATCAATTTTGTTCGTCCATGACTGTTCTCCCTTTCGTTCAAACAAGTTGTCCTCTCAGATAGTCACTATGATCTGAATTATTATTATTATTATTATTATTATTATTTTGACGATTTTCTTTGAAACTTCGATAAGTAATTATATCATTGGAATGATGAGGCGAATTAATTCGTAAATTATCGTACGGAGAAAAACGGCCCTTCTAAAATATAAAGAAAAAATAAGTAGAATAAAATGAAAAATGGAATGAAATATTCAAAATATAGAATTTTTTTTTTCTTCCATAGGCTGTTTCTAATCACTGTATAGTTTTGAATGAAAAGGTTTATTTTATACCTTGACAGCTGCATACGAGTCATCTATGATAGAATGTTGCAGTTGACGTATGGAGTCAACATAAGATACATCGTCGTCTGGCTCTACAATAAAAGCAAGAAGCACATTGACACATTTTATGGACACAAAACAAAAGCAATTACAACAATTATATCTATCAGATAGATGTTAAATCTACTGCTTCTGACGCACACTTGATTAAAAATTTTAGAACAATACAGTTTTACCAAGACAACAGCGAGAAAAATGATTAAGCTGTTCAGTGTCCAGTTTCTTTTTTTAAAGACTAGCACAATTAAGCGTTTAGCAAAATTTTTCTATTAAATACCATTATTTCTCCATAATGGTGATTGCGGTTGTAATATTCTTTTTTCTCCACTATTTTGATTCTGTGGACTCAATCTTAACGTTTTTGTTCCCGTCGTTGCGTGAGTGACAAATGGTCGTTTTACATCTTCTTCCTACAACATAAAAATTGTTCAATAAATAGTTTCTCCAATTTCTCTATTCATGTAGTTTACATCATATCGTTGATAGGTATTGAACGGATATCCAGAATTATCATCAGTAAATATGGGTGGTGGTTGAAATATTTCAACAGTATTTGCTTCCGTTTCATTAGTGCCTGTTGTACTATCATTATCCGATTTTTTTCTTCTTCGTTTAACGAATATGGCGATTAAAATTATGTTAAATAATAATAGTAAAATACCAAGTGCACAAACAACCAAAATGACAGTTAATGAAAAACGAGTTTGAGGTATAAATGGATAAATGGATTGAGGAACATCACCTAAAAGTAGTCAAGTTTCAAGACAATCTTCAATTTCCATTGTAGACATTACGTACGACTAGTTGTTATGGAAAATTCATCGGTCCATGGACTCAGATGATAACTATTATTTGATCGAACAGCAAATAAATATGTGGTCCCAATTTCTAAATTTTTAACTGCTACTGCTGTGGCACGCTAAAATATGAAGTGATCAAGGATAAAAAGATAAATTGAAGGTGAAATAAAGATTTTAACTTACTGGTGGTATATCTTCATAATGGTATCGGTCATTTGCTTGTAGTCGATAACGTATTTGAAATTGTTGAGGAGCACCGCCATCAAAACCGGGTTGCCATTGAAGTAAAATACTGTTATGAGTAACATTTCGCGCTTGTAAATCTGTAGGAGTATCAGGACGAGCTAGTTATAGGAAAATAGAATGTGTTGAACAATTACACTTTTCAAAATTTTTCTATCTTACTTAATCCTGTTAATTGTACATAAGCTATATCCGTTCCTAATTGGTTATCCGCTTTACAACGATATGTTCCGTGATCTTCTTTTGTTACATTGGCGATGAATAAAACACTATCGTATGTAAAGAGTGTTTGAGGTGTCGATGTTGATGGTAAATCGTTTATTACTGTACGATATTTTGATATTAATGGAAGTTCATCAGGACCCTGTAATGAAAAGATATTAGCATATTCCATATTTGCAACAGTCAGTATAACACTATCTTTCACCTTGTACCACTGCACAGTTGGTTTCGGTAGAGCAGATATTCCACAGTGTAATTCAGCTGTTAAAAAACGATCACTATCAGTTGCCGCTTTTGAATATTTTGGATCACGAGTTATCTCCGGAGGATCTGTAAGAAATTAGAGGACGTAAGAAGACGAAAATTACTTTGTATAACACCTACATTTTACAACAAGAGGTACATTAGCTTGATTTTGTCCAAATGGATTTTCAATTTCACATGTATACTGGCCGGCATCTTCTTTTCTTACACTACGAATGATCAAACTCGCTTCGTTCAATACAAATTGACGTTCAAAACGAATGCCATTTTGAATGATTGGAACAGAATTCTTAAACCATCTAAAATCACAAACGAATATGTCAATAAGATGGTACACGCTTTTCAGTTTTGATAAAAATCTTTTATAAACGAAAATATTGAGTGTATTCGATGCAAAATAATCTAGAAGTTACCTGATATTGCTTAGATTAATGGGATTTGCCTCAATTTGACATTTTAATGTAACCGTAGCACCTGGCGTCACCGCATCAAAGGATGAAAAGCCAATAGTTTTCGTAACTACTGGAGCATCTATAACAAAAAATGGTTCAGTTATATATTTAACATAAATCTCTCTTCTTTGGATATTCACATAGGACATTGAGCGTGAAATTTGTTTCTGTCGTTCCGATTGTATTTGTTGCTTGACATCTATAAACACCCAAATCTGTTTTCGTAATCGATCGTATTGATAAATGACCTTGTTGTACAGTGTATGCTTGACCGGTGACTAATGCTCTTCCACTTGGATGATACCAAGTATAAGTGACAGGCATCGGATAACCAATTGCTTCTAGAGTTAAATTGAATGATTGATTCTCTTTAACATCAGCGAACGGATCATAATCATTAAAATGAGGTTTATCTAGAAAAGAAGAAAAAGCATAATAGAGTTGGTAGATTCGCCGCGAAGAGTGTATCCTTACGATTAACGTTGATGACATAAGAAGCATGTTTCGTTATAATTTCTCCATTGATATCGATCGATGATTCGCACGTTAAAAAATTACCATGGTATGTGATATCCACTGATGGTAACTGAAACAGCAGGATATTTTTTAAAAAAAGATATTAATATGGGCCATGTTTAGCGTCTATACTTGAAATTTAACACTGTTAATAAATCCTCCATTTTCTTTGATATTCATTTCATCTGTTGTATCCAAATAGTGTCTACCATCATTGCCTTGGCGATATACCCTCAATTGACTTTGAGGATTTGAATGAGTCGTTTTGCAGGTGAATTCAGGTTTATCACCAACCGTGAGAGCATTTAACCGTTGATTATCCAATATAGTTACATCCAGTGGTAGAACTAAACAAAAAACAAATAATACTAAGATGTATAAAACTCGCATATAGAAAAGAACAGATTCCTTACAAAATACTCTCAACTTAATGGATGCTGATTTTTCTTTAAAATCATGAACTTGTCCTTTACAGGTCAATGTAACGTTATCATCTGATGGTAGAGCTTCAAATTCAATTTTAGCTAACGCATATTTCGCATCCGTCTTGTATTCGCTACGAAGAAATCTTTCACCTTAAAGGAGATAACAAAAAGAAAAGTGAGTTAAGTTTAAAGATCTTACCGTAAACTTCATCTAACTAATGAACTTTACGAAGGTTATCAATTACCTTTGTACCAATCAACTCTCCCTACTGGATTTCCACCTCGCAACAAACACTCAATAGATACTGTCTCGCCAGCTTTAACAATTTGATTATTTTGAAATCCATGGATTTCAATATCATTTGCATCATCTAAACGAAATTACAATTAAAGTTTTCTCACTACAAATTTTCTACTGTCCTTTTACATACAGATAATATTAAGAAATGTTCTATCTTGCACCGTATGTCCAGTTTCTGGATTTTTTCCCTCACAAATTAACTGTTTTCCATGATGTTCTTTCAATCTTGTATCGATTCCCATTGTTTTAACAATTTGTACTCGTGTACCACCGTAGAGGCCTACTTCATCTTTCGGTGGTACGTCAGGTGTCAAAATTTGATTATCTAATTTCCATAAAAGGAGCGGTCGTGGATTAGACGTTGTTGAATTGCAGACAAATTGGCGAGTTGTACCATCAACGATAGTGGTAGTTGAATTTGGTGTATTATCGTGCATGAACACTTCAGATGGACCAACTAAAATAAGATTCTATTAGCATTTTTAAATTTTATTGTTGTTCTATACTCACAATTAACTTGCATAGTAATCCTGTTATTCATTTGTTTTCCAAGTGTATACAAATACGAATTGATTACATCACATTTCAATGTTGAATTATTGTCTTGAGGTGTAACGATAAACGTATAGTTATTTTCAGTATAGTCCGAATTAACGTTAAACGAATTATCAATTAATTTTTCTTCAATGGGTCCACCTTCAGGATTAGTACTTGGAAGTAAACGATACCAAATAACACGAGATAGTGGATAACCACCACGTGCCACACAAGATAGTTGTAACTGAGTGCCATTTAATAGACGCTGACCGCTTGTATAACCAGAAATAACTGGGCTAGATGGAGGAGCTGAATTGAAAAAGAAAACATTAACAGTACACAGATTTAAAATATTCTACTTATAATAAATCTACTCTTCATTATTAGGTTCAAGTTAATTTTCTAATTAACCCTACGAATGGAATATAACCTACCTGTAACTTCCACTTCGAATGCAGTTCTTAATTTATCTCCATTTGTCAACGTTTCATGTCGAACATCACATGTAAACTTTTTCTTATGCAATGTTAAACTCGGCTGTAAATGCAGTGTACTAATCGTAGAGTATAATCGACCTAAAATGAAATGACTATGATGTTATATAGTCACTACAGGAATAGTGAAGACATTTTTATGATAGTGAATTTCAAAGCTGACCATATTTAAGCAGAAAGATTGCATCGAGTTACTGTGCACATCATACACTCAAGCAAATATTCTGCTGTTATCATCAGTTATGCGAATGTGTCTGAGTAGATAGATGGAAGAAGGATTAACTTATAGAGAAGAATGCCTCTTTTTTAAGGATATATATCTGTTGTCTCTTCGATGAATTAATGCCTACAGCATTTGATATGATTAGCAAAACGAAAGAAACAAGGTTGTTTTCATGTATCACAGCATTTCTGTAAGATTGAACGTTACATCATCAGATTAAATAAAAACATGTCAGTCATTAACAAAATGTAAAAAAATCCCGAGGGAAATGAGAAAAGTACCTGTCAAATCACTTTACTATGAGTATTAAAACTTGATCAATTAATTTCTTATATAAAGTTGGTTAATTCAGAAAAAAAGTCATCAATTGAGACGAACAAAATGAATGTAAAAAAGTCAATTGTAGAAATACTGTTTAAAAAAGATGACATTTAAGGGTTGCTGCACATGAAATGGAGAATCCTTATCAATGTATACTGCAATAAAACTCTGTCTGTAAAATATACCTTGTTGATAAGTTCTCGATGTTCCATAAAATTCGTGTCCACTTTCATTCAACCATTTAATTTGTGCTGCTGGTTTTGCTCCATCCACTTTACAATTAACCTGATATGTTGGTTCATCATACCGAATACTTACTGGCTGAATTTTACTAGAATCTGTTGGACGATCATTTATTTGAACACGAGATGGTTTCACTAAAAATTAATAAATAAAATGATATCTCTGTTATAACTTAGATGGTAATGATGATAAATAGACTAATACCTACCTAGTACTCTTAAATTCGCCACTTCTTTGAGAGCTGGATAATCCATGAATGGTGATACTTCACAAGCGAATAGACCTTCATCTTCTAATTTTAATCCATCGATAAAAAAATTAAATTGGCCATCTGATTCTGAGCCAACAATTTTCCAAGATGGAAATGCAGCCAAAGAGCGATCATAACCTAAAATAGATGAGAACTGTCTTCAAAACGATCTATCATTTCAAGAACACCATAAACAAATTCATCATATTTGCATATATATGTATATACTTGATTCAGTACAACTTTTTGATAATACATAGAATGAAGTTTTCGGGAAATAAAACATGAAATGGATGTTAGCGACACATGTTTAGTCTATACTGCCACTAAGTATATTTTTAGCTAATTTATTTCATATCTCGATTATACATTTATTTTTTAATTAAAGTTTTGTTAACAAAATTAGATTGTTGTCTGAACACAGTTATTTATTATGTCACCGTTAACGTGTGATCATTAGGAACAGCTGTTGTATTTTTATAGTTCAAAACAAACCATATAATCTTCTATGGTCAATGAATGAATGATGAGGACATTTCTTTTTTTTTCAACAGATAGATAGAACGCAAACGTAATTAATTTCGTCATCATCAACATTGTAGAGAGAGCAACTGTTTTAGTATGTTCGTAGATAATTGCTCAGTATTTGTTACAATGTCTGTACGCTGTATTCCTTTGAAAATAGTATCGACTCTACAAGAACAACATAGTTTGGATAAATTTAGTCAATTAAAAGATATAATCAAGACAATAACTGACCTTTTATTCGACAGTAAATAACAGAAATGCTTACATATATATGTATATACACAGTTCCAGACACAAGGAATAAATGAGATCATCTTACATAGTATTCTAAAGTTTAAACTGTATAGTTCTAGAATATCTAGCTCTAGAAAATCTAGTTTTTGGTAGTTCATATTCATTCAATAGCAATTGAGCAAACATTGAAGCGTATATGCTAAGTTAACTAACACTTCTCAATTAACGGCTGAAATATTAGGAATCGTTGTCCTTTTCATTGGCTTGTCTTTTGACCTTCGATGTACAAGTATCTTCGAGGTCTATGTGACACGAGTCATCAACAGCATAATTTACATTTTCCCCTACGTATTGATATATGTATAATTGTTTACACTGGAAGAGTAGAAACAATTAACGTACTCATCAGTTTCCTTCTTCTTACTCTCCTGTTGTGATTGACATACTGTGAGTATTGTGTACTAAGTAGACATTTGTCAGTGTCTTTCTTATTAAGGTCCATTCTACTCTCTTAACCATGCTAGAAAAACACAATTATGTAGAATAACGAAAAAGAATATGACAATAGATTAGAAATTCAAGTACTAAGAATAACAATCATGAAGAGCAGACACAGACCATACTCTCAACGCTTTGTCGGCACAACTAACATCTTTTATGAGTCAACTCTTGAAATACTTAACACAGCAGAAATTGAACATTTATTGTTAAAAACAGAACGAAAAAGGAGGCGCGAAAGATGAAATTTATTAAACAGCCGAATCAGATAGTTGAATATGTTTTTTTCAAAATGAGGTGTCTTTCAGCTGTAGGAAGTGTTTGATCTAAATGTTATAAGTAATTTTACCGAAAGCCTTAAAAATATGACACCTTTTGTTGTATATCTCAGAATGTCTTTTTTCATCTTGCGCACCACGATTTCGATAGAAAAAAAGTTGACCAATAAAGGAAACATCTCAACATTATTTCATGGTATACCTTTGAGCGCAAACATCTTCATGCAGAAATATCAGCCATTACTTCTCAGCAACTTCTCCATTTACTATTACTACAAATATCTGCAATGCGTGGCAGATACTATTTGGTTTAACAGGCAGTTGCTAAGTTCGTTGAAAAAAACGAAATGTTTTTCGCTCTGTAGCCCTGATTAAACTGTCTCACTTTTTACCCAAACGAATCACATTTTACAACCCCTATCATGACTTTTTTTGTAGTTCATATTCTTTTCTTTCTCTTTCCTTTTCGTAAACGTTAGTACTCGCACAAGTCTTTAAAAATTTAGCTAGAATGGGATGGGACTCTGCTCTTTTGTCCGTCATGTTCTCCGATACTTTTTTTATAACATCCTAAGATAAATATAGCTTAGAAAAAAAAGCGAGAGAATTTTACCACACATATTTTTTGGTTTTTCAAAAATATCATTCTTAGATAAAAAGTGGTTTTAGAAATCTCGTATGTTAAAAGAATATACACGATACGCTGTATTTTAGATCCGTTGGAAAGAGAGAGTTTTCTATTTCGGTTGTGTAAAACTACAGATTTATAAATTTAATTTTTAAATTAGAGATATCATTTTCTATGATTAGAAGTTGAAATTTTCTATACTAAACTGTGTAGTTTTATTGTTGCTGAATGTTTTGTTTAACTGTTCTTTAAATGAAGTATCTATTTTTTATCAACAATAAAATAGTCGAAGAATAAAGTTTCTGTTTTCAATCATTTCTCTTTTATTGGGAAAACAAACATTAAAAAGTGAAAATAATGATTAGTTGTTCTATTATTTGTCTTTAATAGAATAAGAGACTATATAATAAAAATGTGCAGCATTGTATAGCGAAAAAAATTAGTTTTTTTTGTTACTCCGATTTCCTCTTTCTTTTTATCCTTTGATGATTTGTTTGTTTGTATAGAGCTATTATTATTTGAAAACCTCAGAAAGAAGAATTGGTAGTGTCACCTTAAGGATGGTGACTATCTTATAATATTTAGATTCACATATAGAAAAATATGAGAAGTATCATTTAAATAATTTCTCGTCTTGAAATAGCAACAGTAAATAGTAGACTATCACCTATCTTTATCAATGTACAACTAAACACATACAAAAGAAACATTTAGAAGGACACCAAATTGAATACAAAGTTTTCCTCACACACTGATACAAAAATCTTTCTCAAATTTGTAAAAAATAACACTATAAAGAACAGTCCAGACAAACGAACATAGCCTATCGAAAAACGTTTTATTATCATTGCGAATAAGACCAACTATTCTACGATCTTTTGATGATATGAACAACACCTTCATTCTATACAATTCTATACAGTCTTATTCATGATGTAAGAATTAATGCGATAAAAACAACAACAAAGTTATACGTTATTTATCGAACGAATTAACAGGATTAACTTCATAGCGCTACCTTTTTTCGTTTTTGACACGTTCACCTTCTAGACACAAAGCTTTTATCTCTTAGATTGGGACCTTTGAAGCTACACATCTTTTCATGTAAATTTTATCGTATATTGTCGATGATGCTTACGACTAAAGCAGAAGAAAAATATCTCAATACTCTTATGGATTTTTGATAAGGTGATTTAAGCTTAACTTTGATGATTTTAAATTCTAAGACGCAATAGTCTATTTTTATCATCTCACTTAAAAAAAAAAAATCGAATGAAATCATTATTGACATGAGTTGAGTATTTAACAAACATATAATTATTAGACAATTCGATTAGATATAAGATGTTTTTTTCTCACTACTTGAGATCTATTTTAAGAATTTTTCAAAAAATTCTTCAAAATCATTCTCAAACACATTTGTCTTAACTGAACTGTATATAACATATAAAAAATGTTGTTTTCTTCAAGCATCATTAACACACACACTTTATCTTAGAAGAACATAATGGATTTTTATCTTCTAGAGAGCAACAACATTGCTGGTATTATATGCTTAGTTGATTATCTCTATGTCAATTAGACTATAGGATATACTTATTCAAATGAATATATAAAGGATAAATAGTCAAATAAACAAAAAAAAAAGTTTTTTTCTTTTTTCTTGTAGCAGCCAACAGGTGGTTCTATTCATTCTCCCACTTTTCTCTCTCTCTCTCTCTCTCTGTCTCATCCCACTAATTGATTTTCAATATTTAACATATGTGTGTTGTGCTGTATGCATACCTAATGCTAGTCCATCTTTTGTCCACTGTACATCGCCATGTGGAGGTTGAATAACACATGGAATTGTTACATTTGAGCCGAGTAGTGCTGATAAATCATGAGGTTTTACGATATAATATTGACCACTTTGAGCTGGTAAACCTAAAATTAGCAAAATGGCGATTAATACGTGTAAAAGTGCATATAAAAATAAATTATTCAAACAATAATTTAGTAGACAGATTTAAAGAAAACGTTTTTCTTCCCTTCTAAAACAAATTATATTACAGACCCGAAGGTCTCCGAAAATATATTAACTGAGACTGTTAATAGATATGTATTCAAAGTAAATTGAAGCAATAAATTGTAACAATGGCCTATCAATTTGATGAATTCTCTAAAATATGTTCTTCAGGCTTTTGTTTTAACTTTGATGCGGCTTCTTAGTGTTTCACATGTTAGAAAAAAAAAGAAAATAACTTACATTGAAGAAAAAAAACATTTGCCAATAGATAAAACCAAATGCTTTGAAGTGTTATCATTTTTGTTGTTCTAAAACGAAAATTACAAAGAAAAATTAATTTTATTATTTTTCGTTGTTCAATCAATGAACCATAAATAGGTCTATACAGATGACCACAATGATGACCACTAAAAATAATTGCGTAAATCAACCATAAACAATGATAAAAATAACTTTAAATGACAATGTCACGCTATGATTAACTTATAAAAAAGAAAAAAACCCGAGAAGAAAGTCAAAACGAACTAGCGAAAAATTAATTTTCTTTTATAGTAGAGAAGAAGAAAAAAAAAATCAATCAAAATCACTTAACGGACAATGATATGGTGATTAAAAGAGAAAAACAAATCACGGCACGTACGTTGATGATTTGCATACAGTCGCTTATCTGTCTGATAAATGTCCGAACTATTCAGAACTGAAAAAGAATAATTTGAATAAACTAAAACATGTAATTGCATC